GACCCACATAGAAAGTAAGGGGGCACAAGCTATATATATTTATGTATATATAACCTTCATCTCCTTACCTCCCTACATTGTGCCTCCTTAGTGAAATTAATCCTCTCATTATTTTTCATAGTTCACCTTTGAAATAATATCATATATTCTTAACTTTTAACAATTTATTTGTACATCATATACGAATTTCTCTTTTATTTAATGATTTTATTTAAAATAATATAATAGTTTGAATAAATTATTTTGTACTTTACTTAGAACTAATTATTGATATCTCAAAGTTAGAAAAAAAAAAATGAAAAATTCATGATTTTTAATATAATTTTTTTTATAAGTTATTTTTATAGTATTGATAAAAAATTGATTATTATGTATAATATTAATTAAATATTAAAATTCCCATGATACCTCCTTTCACAAAATTTTGGGTCCAAACACTCTTTAAGGACTGAGGTAGTGCATCCCTCAAACAAATGAATACAAAATTCGTTGCACGAAGATCTGGAAATGTCTGAGAACAACTTACATAATTCTAGCATAATAGTAACAAACTGTCAGTCCAACCAGCCCGATATCTAAACCAGGTCACCAAATCCTTGATTCCAACAGCTTCCTCCTTGATTCTGGTAGCTTCTGGCACCAACCATCCCACCTGACACCACCATCAGCATCACCTTCATCTCGGCATCAAAACCCCCATCATCCCTAACTCTGATTGGCTGCCGATCATCATCGTTTTCACCTAGCTACTTCTTAGTTTCCTACCTAGATCACAAGGGCATGTTATTGGCTTTTAAATCGGTAGGGACTGATGTGTAATTTTACAAGAGTGTGTTTACTGGATTTCAAACCTACTAGACATGCTAATGTCACCGGTCAGACTAGGCAACCTGAAAACTAGTCCCTTAATCGGGTCAAGGGGCGGTTCGAGTTTAAAAACATTGACGTGAAGCACTAGTGTGGGACATGCTCTGAAAAGGGAAGCGTAGGAGACGATATGGAGTTGTTCTTCAGAGTTGATTGTGAAAAAGGGATAGCCCTTATTTAGAGTTTTTACTCTCACCTTGTGAAGTTGTCATCCCACCTAGAAGCTTAAGTTAGTAGGTGAGGGCTCAACATTACATTACTCCAACAAGACTTCAGTAAAGGGGAATGTAAGTGAGGATTCGAACTTCAGACCTTTGGCTAAAATACCATGTTAAGTTGTCATCCACTGGTGGAGATTTGAACCTGAGATCTTTGGCTCAAATACCATGTTAAGTTGTCATCCTACCTGTGAGGATTCAAACTTGAGACCTTTAGCTCAAATACCATGTTAAGTTTCCCTCATATCAAACTTGGATTTCATTTTTCATTTTCTTTATCTAGTTTATATGTGGGGGTTCAAAATTTATACCTTTGGTTTAAATATCAATTCGTGACCTTTGGCTCAGATACCATATTAAGTTGCCCTCACATCAAACTTAGAGATATATATATTACAGTTTCTTTATCTAGTTTGTACGTGGGGATTCAAATTTGAGACCTTTGGCTCAAATAACAACTTCACATGTATCAAAGCCAAATATATAAAGTTCGAATCCCCACATATAAACTAGACAAAGAAAATGGAAAAAAAAAAAAAAAAATCAAAGTTTGATACAAGGGGCCCATTGGACTCATATAATATTGAGTCATCACCTACTAGTTTAAGTTTTTAAATGGGGTAGCATCTTACCACACCTAAACCTTAGGGTGTGTTTGGTTGGAGGTTATATAGGATTATTGAAGTAATGTTATCTTATATTACTTGATTACCACATTTGGCTGTCAAAGTAATATAAGATTCCAGTAATCTTCCAATACCAATAGTAGTTACTGTTGGTAATATAAGATGTAATCTAATTATCTCCATGTTCTTAGGTATTTTAAGATTACTTGGTAATCTTATTTTTGTTACAATTTTATCTCTTATTAATAAAATTTTAAGACAATAATACCCTTGTTTTAAAAGCAATTTACAAAAATATCAATTGACTATTTTATCCTTATATACAAAGTTTTTAGGACATAAATACCCCTGAAATTTAAAAAAAAAAAATTATCCAAAGGTTGTGGCTGGATCTAGCCACCACCACCAACCGCCGGAAACCATTGTCAGTCGCCGCCGTCGATGACGAAATGGCAAACGACCGGTCATATTTGTTGATCGTGCACCAATAAGGCCATTTTCGGGCATGGATCTGTGATCCATGGCCGACAACAACCAGATCCAATTGTGAAACGGACGTCATTTCACGGCCAAATATCCACTTTCACCGCCACTACCGACGGTGATAGGCCACTGGCTGTGGCTTGTGGTGGGTGGGGGTGTTTTTATTAAGTTTTAAACCTTTTTTGGTGTTGGGGTGTTTTAGTTAATCTAAAATTTAGGGGGTTAAAAAAGTCATTCAAAAAATAATAATAATATCATATTAATATTTAAAAAGGAAGGCAATCTAGTAATTTATGTAACATACCTACCAAATTATTCCTCCCAACCAAACATATTAATATAACATATCTACCAATTCATTTCAACCAACCAAACACATTTCCCTAAACATTCCTTGCAATCTTTAAGATAATCTATCTTTCAATTAATACAATATTCTCAATAATACAACGTTTCCTAAACCAATGTACCCTTAAGATTCAACGGGTTCGTTTGGTTCATTATTTTGATAGTTCTTAGAATAATATTTTGAAAAAAGTTAAATTGGGCGGGTATTACGATGTAAGATTTGGAAATTAACAAAAATATCTCTTATGTTTGTTTATTTACTAAACACCTCTATAATAAAATATTAAAAGTTAACAAAAATACCCCCAACCCACCCATTAAATACGAACAGTCGGCCACCACCGTCGGAGGGTGGTCGGCGTGTTTTTGTAATTTCTAAAAAAAATTATTTAGGGGTGTTTAGTTAAATTAATAAATTTAAGAGGTTTAAAATAAATTAAAAAATATAAAACAATATTTTGAGAATAATGACATTTTACTATATAACTTTTTTAAAAATATTAATATTAATAATAGTATTCTCAAAAACGAAACAAACGAAGCCAAAGCTTTTATAATTTTAGACATGTGGGACGTCTTCCTGGAAAAAGAGAGAAGCAATATAAAATAGAAAAAGCAAGGCAACTTCCAGGAAAAAAAGAAATTAAAGTAGAAATAAAGTATAATAATTATCACACGGTTTCCTTGATCACATGCGTGGCATAAATAAAATCGTTGAAGACCGTGAAAGGTTAAATAAGTGGAAGTTGTGAAACTTCAACGAATTTTCATACTGCTATTTAAGCCAAAAATGCCATATATATATATATTCCAATTAATTAATGCCTTTAATTTTGCAGATTAACTTTACTCATCTACCTTTTTGCGTTCCACTGCCGCTTATCCATAAGAATCAAATTATTAAATATTAATAGTTAATGTAGGTAAGAGGAGTTAACAACTTTTTTTCACTCAAATAATGTCTTGATTACACTTTTTCATCCATAGATTTTTAAAATACTATTTATTACCCAAATTTATATTTTGGTGGCAAACAAAGAACAAATTAGTCTGTTTGGGCTTTTGAAGAAGGAAGACCGATAAGTCTTTAGGTGATAGAATGTTGGATTTTTATAGTTTGAATTGATCAGAATTTGACTTGAGAGGGGTGGTTGCATAAACCCTAATCGCTCGATTGTTACGATTGATAGGGTCAACGGGAGTAGAGATTGAGAGGTTTTGGTGAGTGATAATCGGGAAAAAGAATAGTGGTGGTATGGGATCGTAACAATGTTAAAATTGTAAACAAAATATAAATTTGGATAATAAAGTGATACTTCAATAATTTGTAGGTGAGAAAGTGTTATTAAGTCATTATTTAAGTGAGAAAAAGTCATCTACTCAAGTAAGAGAGTCGTGATAAAATTATTAAAGTAGGATAATTATAAGAAAAAGAGAAAAATAGACATAAGATAGTACCATATATGATTTTTTTTTAACTATTTTTATATTTAATGAGATGGATAGTATTATTAAAATTTATAATTAAATGGTATATATGCATTGGCTTGCAATACATACTAGTATATTTCAACCAAATAAATTTTTATATAATTTGTTTTCGAAAAAGAAAATTGTATTTAAATTCTATGTCAACCAGATCATAAGGTAAACTATGAATAAGATAGTGTTCAAATCGGTCGTTTCGCAGAAAGGGAGGTTGTTAATATAAAAATAGCTAGACATACAAGCGCTCGAAAGAAAAGAAAGGAGCATTAAGTCGAATCATCTTTCTTCGACATATGACAAACACATTAGTCAAGTTAATATGGTTGGGATTGATCGAAATTTAACTTGAGAGAGTAGCTACATAAACTCTAATTGCTCGATTGCCAATGATTGACGGGGTCAGCGAAAGTAGAGATTGAGGGGTTTTGGTAAGTGATGATCGGGAAAGAGAATAGTAGTTGTGTAGGATCGCAACAATACCAAAATTGGAAACGGAATAAAATTTTGATAGTAAAATGGTATTTTAAAAGTCTGTGGATGGAAAAGTGTCATTAAACCATTATTTGAATGGAAAAGTCGTTTACTCAAGTAAGAGAGTCGGGATAAAATAATTAGGATAATTATAAGAAAAGGAGAAAAAATAGAACATAAGATAGTACCATATATGAATTTTTTTTAACTATTTTTATATTTAATGAGATGTATAGTATTATTAAAATTTATACTTAAATGGCATATATGCATTGGCTTGCAATATGTACTAGTTTATTTCAACCAAATATATTTTTATATAATTTGTTTTCGAAAAAGAAAATTGTATTTAAATTCAACCAGATCTTAAGGTAAACTATGAATAAGATAGTGTTCAAATCGGTCCTTTCGCAGAAAGGGAGGCCGTTAATATAAAAATAGCTAGACATACAAGCGCTCAGAAAGAAAGGAAAGGAGCATTAAGTCGAATCATCTTTCTTCGACATATGACAAACACATTAGTCAAGTCAATAAAGAAAAACAGACATTAGATACAAATATTATTGGTGAGAGTGAGAAGAAATATCACCTGAAAGCTAAGGAAACTTCATTGAAGATTCGTTAATATTCCGTGCTGACGTTTAACATGTTATGCAATAAAATTAAGCAAAATAAATGAGCATATAGATGCTTATAGAAAGGGGACGAAACTTCATTTCATTCTGTGAACATTCCAAATCTCTCTTTGTTTTATTTTGTTCTCTTTAATCTCCTTAATTAATCATGAAGAGACGACATTCAGACATGGAGAATGGTCAGGATAAGCAATCATCAGGATCTGAGAAACGTACAACCATTCATGACTGTGCTCAGTCGGGGGACATTGATGGGTTTGAGAAGCTACTTCAGGATAATCCATCTCTTCTCAATGAAAGAAATGCAATTGTAAGATTATTTCTTTATTCTTTTAACATTATTTTTTTATTAATGAATATATATCCACTTGAAAGAACTAGATTTTGTCAGTTGGGTCTTTAGAGGGTTTTGGACAAATTAAGAAGGGAACAAAAATTTTCTTCGCAAACTTTACAATTAAATTAAGCTGAGTGTGTTTATCTTCCAATTTATGTATTCATTTTTGTTTTAGTGCAGATATTGCAGACACCCCTTCATCTTTCTGCTAGTAACAACAAGACAGAGATAGTGAAATTTCTGCTTGAATGGAAAGGATATGATAAAGTTGACTTGGAAGCGAAAAATATGGTATGTGTTCTTTATAAATCATCCTGAGAGAAATCTAAGCACTACAAAGCGAAAAGTATGCTAGTAAAAATATAAATGCTTATATATTTTTGGTTTTTGATCTGTTGAGTTTTACAGTATGGAGAAACTCCATTGCATGTAGCAGCCGAGAATGGGTGCAATGAAGCTGCACGATTACTCCTTGATCATGGTGCTGTTGTTGAAGCCAAAACTAAGGTGCTTTCTATATAATTGTACCTTATATTCTCGTTCAGTCATACTTTGCCTGAGATTTGTGATAGTGATATATATTTTTCTTCATTTTATTTCCCATTTTGACATGCAGTATGGAATGACACCACTAATGCTTTCTGTTTGTCACTCAATTCGAGCTGAAGACTGTTCAATTGTGGAGACATTGCTCAAGAATAATGCTGATTGTGATGCTAGAGATGATGTATGTATTTTATATTCTCAACTAATAAATATATTTCTTGCTAAATAGCGGTAATTTAAGTAACTTTGAATGCAGGAGGGCATGACTCCTGTAGATCATCTTTCAAAAATCCAAGAAAATGTGAAGTTGCGTGATTTATTACTCTCTCATCAACAAGAACGACAAGATAAAAAGTTACTTGAAGCATGCAGGAAGCAAAAAGAAAAGATAAATGCCCTCGAAAAAGAGCTATCGAATATTGTGGGTCTGCATGAACTCAAGATGCAACTTCGGAAATGGGCAAAGGGCCTTCTTTTGAATGAGAGACGCAAGGCCGTTGGACTTGAAATCGGCACTGCTGGAAAACTTCCTCACATGGCATTTCTAGGAAATCCTGGAACTGGTAAAATTGCTGCTTACTTTATCTTTACCTTTTCAGTTAAAATTGCTGCTGCAATATTTTGTTTCCTTACTTATCAAATTAAATGATTTTTTTCTTATTGGATAGGTAAGACTATGGTGGCTCGAATCCTTGGAAGACTACTCTATGGTGTGGGAATTTTGCAAACTGACAATGTAAAAGAAGTTCAACGGACAGATTTAGTTGGTGAACATGTTGGTGATACTGGGTATAAGACTAGGAAGATGGTACAGCACTTTGCTTTCTATATTATTATGTGTTCGACATAGCAAGAAGTTTATTAATTGAAAAAATGAATATAATTTGATGGACTTGTATCCTCTCTTTACCTTCTATATTTCAAAATGCATAATATCTTAGAAGCATGTATTAGATTGTATGGTTTATTTTAACAAAATAATAATAATAATTTCATGCACAGATCAAAAAGGCCGAGGGAGGTATTCTTTTTGTGGATGAAGCATATCGACTAATGCCGAAGGACACATGTCCTAGTGACTTTGGGTTAGAAGCCTTAGAAGAGATCATGTCTTGCATGGACAATGGAAAAGTTTTAGTCATATTTGCTGGGTACAATGAAGCAATGCAACGTATAATATCTTCTAATGAAGGTTTCAGCAGAAGGGTTACTAACATTTTTAAATTTGAAGATCTGAGTTGTGAAGAATTAGCTAATGTTCTCCATATCAAGATGAAAAATCAAGCGGAAGATAGCTTGTTACATGGCTTTAAATTACATTTTTCTTGTACTGTAGATGTCATTGCAGAGCTAATAGAGAGAGTAACAACAGAAAAGCAGCGTATGCAAATGAATGGAGGTTTAGTGGATATAATGTTAAATAATGCTAAGGGGAATCTGGATCTTAGGCTTAGTGATGATTGTGCAGACAGGGATGAATTGCTTACGATCAAATTAGAGGATTTTGAAGCAGCTTTGAGATTTTTACCCCAATAGATGTTTCAATGTTGCTCTGCTTTAGTGTGTTTTTAGCTTGTGTATCAGTCGAACTTTCAATTTGTATATGCCATATATTTATTACTCTTTCTTTATCATTCCTATCTTTATTACTTAGCACTGTTTTTTTTTTTTTTTGTTTTTTTGGAAACACTGCTGGTTTGTTTATTCTGGGCATTTCCTGAAAAATAAAATATTTAATAGTAATAGGTCACATTTTTTTTTTAACGTGGGAGCAAACCATCTAAATTACTATATAGGTCATGTTCAAGAATGTGTTATAAAAAAAAAATAAAAAAAACCAATGTGAATGGTTCAATTAGTTGTGACAAAGAACAAAAAGAAAAGGAACATTTCTTTATGAAATATCAGTCTCACTTTACAAAGAAAGGATCGAAGTCCTTTTATCCAAGTAGTACAACTAAACTCTAACTACTAACCATGATTAACAACTGATTAACTATAGTCAACATGATGACTTTGACTAACCGTGACAAACTTAACTAAGCTAGTTGTAACTAATGACAATATGTAACTGTGCCAATAATAATAACAGCAACCATTAAGCTAACCATTCTCCAATAAGTTGCTTGTTGGGGATGCAATTATAGTCTGGTCAAAAAAGAAAAGAGGCATCTTTTAGGAAAAGAGATAAAACTGAAATGCTTACAGCAAATACTCAATTATATGCTGTCTTGGTTTAGCTCTCTATGTTTTTGCCATTGTGAACTGACTGCCATTTGTGGAAAGTTAATGGCTTCTTTGACTTCTTCCACTATTGCTCGACTAAAGTGTCAGCATTTTCTTAATTAGTTTCAGAGTTGAGGACCACCATAACAATTTTACTAGCCATATTTATGAAGCCTTGTGTCAGAAAATAATTGAGACTTTCATTGATGAAGTTGAACTTATTACAAGATATCAAATTTCTCCATCTCTTTTGACTTCATTCCTGCCGACAGTTCTACAATAGAAAAAGAAAAAATTTCAGGCCTTATGCAAGAAATTTGTTCTTATAGAGCAAAATTACCGTCAGGAATGGAGATTCGGATTTTTTTAAAAATAGGACTACATCTAGAATTTTCAATTTGTTGAGACTCAATGTAGAATGATATATTAGCAATTTCACAAAAAATGGTGCGCCCCCCGCGCGCCCCCGCCCCCCCCCCGGGGGAGGAGGATTTAGGGTTTAGGGTATAGAACAAAATTACCGTCAGGAATGGAGATTCGGATTTTTTTTTAAAATAGGACTACATCTAGAATTTTCAATTTGTTGAGACTCAATGAGAAAGGTATATTAGCAATTTCACAAAAAATTTGGAGGGGGTGGGTTTGAAAACTTTTGGGTGTAAGGGGAGGTTAAATTATTTGACCATTATTTATTACGTGAGAACTATGTGTTACAAATGTGAATCCTCGTTAAAGAATTTCTTGTGTGTGAATTAATGAATTTTTGCAACACAAGCACACCAAATGTGAATGGCTCCTTAGTTGCTTGTTAGGAATGCAATTTTAGGTCTGGTAAAAACAGGAAAGAAAAAATAACAAAGGCAGGCAACTTCGGGGAAAAGAGATGGAAAATAAAATAGAAAAAGGCAGGCAACTTGGGGGGAAAAAAGATGAAAAAAATAAAATAGAAAAAGGCACACCAATCAATCAAAGACTTACAGAATATAAACTCGTTTAATGCTTAGCAGTCAACATCGATCGTAGGGTAAAATCAATGTTTTCCAGCTCTGTTTCTCAAAAGTTTTCAGAAAAAATTAACATAACACTTATACCAATGTTTTCAGCCTTTTTCTCTCAATTTGTCAGAATCAATTAATGGTAAGGTACTGTCAATCAACCAACTCTTTGAATTTCCTTTAAATTTGTATGGTAGTCAGAGATCAATTAATGGTAAGGTACCATCAATCAACTAACTCCTTTGAATCTTCTTCAAATTTGTATGGTAGTCAGAAATCAATTAATGGTAAGGTACCATCAATCAACCAACTCCTTTAAATTTTCTTTAAATTTGTATGGTAGTCTTGGACCTATCGATTCTAGAGGGTAATTTCCAGTAAATCCCATACATTTAATGAAATAACATTATGCACTAGCTAGTTTGGAAAATGCAACTTTAGCCCTCATTTAGTAAAAATCATTAATAAAAATTTGTAACGGTTTTTTATTATAACCGAAAAACACATATTTACTTAACTCTTAACCCTTAAACCCATCAAGTNAAAATAGAAAAAGGCACACCAATCAATCAAAGACTTACAGAATATAAACTCGTTTAATGCTTAGCAGTCAACATCGATCGTAGGGTAAAATCAATGTTTTCCAGCTCTGTTTCTCAAAAGTTTTCAGAAAAAATTAACATAACACTTATACCAATGTTTTCAGCCTTTTTCTCTCAATTTGTCAGAATCAATTAATGGTAAGGTACTGTCAATCAACCAACTCTTTGAATTTCCTTTAAATTTGTATGGTAGTCAGAGATCAATTAATGGTAAGGTACCATCAATCAACTAACTCCTTTGAATCTTCTTCAAATTTGTATGGTAGTCAGAAATCAATTAATGGTAAGGTACCATCAATCAACCAACTCCTTTAAATTTTCTTTAAATTTGTATGGTAGTCTTGGACCTATCGATTCTAGAGGGTAATTTCCAGTAAATCCCATACATTTAATGAAATAACATTATGCACTAGCTAGTTTGGAAAATGCAACTTTAGCCCTCATTTAGTAAAAATCATTAATAAAAATTTGTAACGGTTTTTTATTATAACCGAAAAACACATATTTACTTAACTCTTAACCCTTAAACCCATCAAGTATTTGACCTTTGTGTGGCAGTTGCCAATACTAATCTATAGGGGCGTGCAACAATTTAGGATAGAACCGGAATCGATAGGTATTCGATTCTCGTTCCTACCCAAAACCTTCCCTCACAGGGTCAGTTCCAATTCTCAAAAATTGGAACTAGAAACTAGGACTAAATTAAAAGTTTATAAAAATATGGGGATGATTTTGATATTTTTATGGTTAAGTTGAATATTAGGAGCTATATTGGTAAATTTAACTGGACATATTTGGAGTAGAGGTGGCACTAGACCGTGCCGTGCCTAAAAATTTAAGGGCCATCGTTCCTTGGGTCGTACCGTACCAAGCCCGCACAGTTTCATGTCCTGTCGTGACGTGCTAGCCCACAAAATTTAAAGGCCCATGGCACGACCCGTTAATATCGTGTCATGCTTTGGGCCGTGCCATGGGCCGGCCCACGTGCTTTGTAAAAATATTTAATTTTAATATTTATAAATAATGGTAATTTTGATTTATTATTAATAATTATTTTTAAAATATTGTATATGTTATATTTAGTGACATTTTGTATTTATATTAATTAAAAATATATAATCACTATGAAATATAATAAAATAATGAGACACTAAAATATTAATTGAATTTCAACACTTTTTATTGCTTATAAGTTATAATTATAAATTAAAAATACAAACTTAGAAATTAGGATTAAGAATTATTATCCATCTTCATTTTCATTAATTTCTAAATTCTTAAAATCTTCAAATATATCTTCAGCAACACGATTTTGAAGCTTGAAATTTGCCGCCATCCAATCTTTCATACACATAATGGCTTCAACAGCACTTTTAAAAAATAACTATTAATTTTATTAATTAATTTATTTTTAATTATTTTTATTTTTATTTTTTTTCGTGCCATGCCAACCCACGGGCTTTTTTTTAAGGCCTACAGCACAGCCCGTATATTTTTGTGCTAGGTCGTGTCGTGCCTTGTCATGCCGTGCTTTTTTCCAGCTCATGACACCACCGCCGACTCTAATTTGGAGTTTGGACCCAAATTTTTTAAATTTGTATTTGTAATTTATTGGCCCAAGTTTTTTTAAATTTGAGCCCAATAACTTTTTTTTTGTAAAACAGTTGACGGTGTATTTATAATTTTTACAAGGTATATTTGTCATTTTCGTTAGTGGTTGTGAAATCATCAATCATGTTTCTTAACTTTCTTTTTTAATATATTTAACCACTAATTTGTTTATTTGTCATTTTCGTTAGTGCTCATGAAATCATTCGGTCATCTTCTTCCGTATTTGTTTTTATATTTTATGAATATTACTATACAGAATACTACTTTGTAATCAAATTTTATGTCACGATTTTATTTCGCAAGTCAGGACAAGAGCAAAATTTGTGATGAGCGTATGCGGTTAATTGGTTATCTGAAGTATTAGTGTGGGATGTGCTTCGAAAGGGTAATGCAAGAGGCAATAAAAAGGGTGAGCGGTTCTAGGTACTTTCCATTTTTCGAGGGAACCAGAATCGGAACCGCACGGTACAGGTTCTTCAATTCAAGGAACCGAAACCTAAAATGCAGGTTCCGGTTCCTTTCCGAGGTATCTTGTAAAAAATTAATTACCCCCCTATTAGTTTAAAAAATGACAAAAATACCTTAAAAGTTTACAAATACACCCCTAACAAATTTTGATTATTCATTCATTTGTGTCCAATGTAACTCATAACATGTAATCTCTAAGCACCACTTGAATTCAATTAATTCATCACAATTCACATATAATTCGTCAATCAAAACCAAAACACAAACAATTATTTATCACAATTCACATCAAATAATTTCACCAAAATCATTTAAACAAACAACAATATAAAAAGTTAGAAACTGTCACCAATTTTTTTTATTCTCCCACTAATTTCAATCACTATAATTATAAAACTACAAAACAACCCAAAAAGCATAACATGAGTACATGATCCGTGTCTAATGCTCCAAATTAGGCATGGATGTTCCTTCATCAAGTGATTGAAGTCCAATCATTTCTACAAAATAAACATAAGAAATTTATAATGTAATGTTATAATTAATTAAGTAATCATACCATAAATTTATAATGTAATGTTATAATTAATAAAATTTTAATCATTTAATTAAGTATTGTGTAAATTAGTAATATTTATAATATAATGTCATAATCAATTAAGTAATCATTTAATTATGTAATGTTATATTAATTATATGATCATACTATAATAGTATAATGT